GTCACTTGGAACCATTACCAATAATACCAGTGAAACTGGAAGCTCTTACTTAGAATCCAAGCCTTCACTGTAGCAAATATATGGATTTGTGGCACCAGAGGTGTGGCTGGAAGTCAACTGGGAAGTGCTACTACCTGTACTTGACTAAACACAGAAGCCACCAGAGATCTGATATGCTGCCATGAGTGCCTTGTGTAGAGCACAGTAGGTTGGGAGTCCTTTCTTTGGTGGATTGTGTGAATTACCTGGTTAATATGAGGGAAGTTTACGGAGTACTCCGTATAGAACTGCTCCCTTGCCCATTGTGCATAGTCATTTAGATGGAGCTTGGTGTGCAGCTGCGAGACTTGGAGGGGGAGGAAGGTCTCCACAACTAGTTGCTGAAGACAATTTTCATATTGTACTATGAGCTCCATAACAACAATGACCTTTATCTAATTTGCACCTTTATAACTTGCATAGTCATTGTAACAACGATAGACTCTTCCACGGGTGCTTAATGGGTTAGTTTACGAGCAAACAGCATAAAGTGAGAATCAATAGGTATTCAGATGACGTTTTGGGGGCAGGAATTGTAATTATTGAACAAATACTGGACATTGTTCTTTATGGGGCAATAAAGGCACACATGGGGTCAGTGAGGTATCTGCTGAGACCAGGAGTAGTATTGATTTTTAGAAATTGCTTCTGTGATCTTCTCGTGGATTTCTCTTCACATCAGTCCAGCTGGCAGACTCTGTGCATCCCAGGGGAAGCTGAGTGAATGAACACGTAGCACTGGAGTAAAAGTTCCTTGAATCATTTAATACCTGCTTCTGCTGAGAAGACTGTGAGGCACAAAGTCTATATGCCTCTCAGGTTTTGTGTCATTCTCTTCCCCTGGGTGTTTTCAGCTAAGCCTGAACATGAACAAAGATACATTTAAAAGTAACTGGAGAATGGTTTGCTGATGCAAACTACAGCATGTGTGTTGTATTTTTATAAGCACCAAGCTGGCGGACCACATGGTTATTTGGTTAGAATGAAGTCTGAGAACTAGCTGATTTTGTTTCTGTCTCTTACATTGAATTGCTCTGTGATTGTCAGTCACTCATTGAGGCAAAAATCCAACTGTAGTTAAAATCAGTCTGACTTTTCAGAGATGGTAACTGGAATTAAGTAAGCCCTTAAATATCTGAGTTTTGTGTTCCCTGTCCACAAATAAGCTATAGTGATATGATACAGAGAGTTTTGATGCTTGTGATATGCTTTAAAAATCACAAATCATGACAAGAGATGTAAAAATTGTTATTTATAGTTTGTTGGGGTTTTTCCTAGGGAGGAAGTATGGAACATATGGAACAGTGGCAGCTTCTAGGTACCAGGTACTGTCCTCTTTTTCTGGCTGTGAGAGCAGAAACAGAGCCCTACTATAGCATGTGAATCAACTTCAACCCTTGAAATTGTATAGATGTAGAGTAAGTTTGTGACTGTAGCAGAATTTAACTGTTATCTCCTAAGAACCCAAGTGAAAAGATTAAGTTAAATGAATTAAGTAAATGATATTGTGTCATCTTGATATTGCTGGAGGTTGCTAAAAGATCTTTGCTTATTTAATGTTTATCTACTTCAGAAAATATATTCATGTCTGAGCCAGGTAAGGAAACCTGGTCTTTGAGAGAGAGTAGAAACTGCAAAGGGGCCTCAGTCCCAGCTCGGGTGGTGCAAATGTGAATGCCAGAGTGGCTCCTGGATGGTCAGACAGGGAAGTTTCCTTAACACTGCTTAGAGGGTTGTACCTGCAGGTGCTGCTGTGCTTTTCAGAGCTGAGTGAACCAAAGGGGAGCTATAGCCATCCTATTATCTTTAACTGGTATAAAGTAATATTGTCCTTGTGTTATTGAATTTTCAGCATCTAAATGATGATGGAAATTTTCCAACCAGGTGTGCTTTCTCCAGGATCCTTGCAGATGTTTCTAATTAACATGACTGTGCCTGAACAACTTGTCTCAATTCTGTGGCAATTCTCCTGGTACTCAGGAGTGTAAGAGTTTAGGCTTGACTTGTTCAAACTTGTATATGTCTTATTCCAGTAATATTAACACAAACCCTGTAGCCTGTCTAGCAATGGGAACAGAGCACAAATAACAATCAGTTTGTGTTTTCAAAGAGACTTACATATCCAACTATGGAAAAACAATCAATGACAATTTAGATGCTTCTGACTGAACAAGATGTCTTTAAATTAAGTCTCACATCTCATATGAGACTTGGAAACAAGAACACTCTGACTTCCTAATTTAGCCACTGAAGAGCAAAGAAAGAAGTTTGAGTTGTTTGGCCAGGTGACATGTATGCTTCCACCAGGGATCTTCAGCAGGGGAGCATTTTTTCTTTGGGCATCTGTCACAGGGAAGAACTGCCTTTAGGGGGGCAGAAAGTCTGGGGAGAAAACTAAAATACTCAGTTGGTGACCCTGAAATTAAGCAGCAGTTGGTGATAATTTTCTGATTTTGTTTTTCATCCAAAGAACTCACTAGTTTTAAATTGGATTGGTGGTGCAAGAGTTGGAGCAGTCACCCAGCTGGAGGTACTGAGAGTAGAACTGGGGCAGCTAGTGTTAGACCAGTCATCTGTGCCACTGTAAACCATAATCAGATCTAATTGCACACAATCACTAAAAAGACACTCTCATTCCTCTTTCTTCCTATCCACACTGCTCCAAATTCATGCTTGCATAAATTGTAGGGACTGCTCAGCCCTAGCTGATTTAATTCAGCATACTGATCAGATGTATCAAGAAGGGTCAAAATTTGGCACAGAGCTAGACATTCCCATGACAAAGACTGAAATGATACTCTGCTTTCATCCTGATGTAATAAAACCTGCTTCTCAGTGCAAGTAATTCTATAATGGCAATAACTGTGTTGTTGATCTTTGCTTATTTTGTCAAGGGTGGGTGTGATGTTATCTGCCTTTTTAGACAGATCTGAATAAGCTATATGTATTAGTATTAGGAATTAAAAGCCTCTTGAATCTGCTACTTACCTGAGCCATGAAAGTAGAGCTGCCAAGTTGCTCTCATAATTACCAAAAAGTTAGATCTTGTATGGAAATAAGAGCCAAAGTGATTAAGAATTCATTTGCAAAGGAAGCAAAGATTACAAACTTGTTTGTTTTCTCACACCTGCTCTCCACTTTGGCAGTACAATAAAGCAAGGCATAGTTAATGCACTTTTCCCCAAAATTATTAATGCACTCAGGGGAATATGATCAGCTGAGGCTTTGGAGATCACACTGCCATTTGCCCAATTATACCTAGTGACAACACATCATTCCAGCAAAATGTGTCTATTCTTTGGTAGGTTACATTTCCTCTCAGCCTTTTACTTATTGATCCCATAGTACTTCATGCAGAACAAACTTCTTTGTTGGCAAGTCATGTTTATGAGAAGAGAAAAATCTTTTATGTTACGTTTTTAACATCTGACCAAGTCAGTGAGAGAAAAAGCTTCTTGTATGGAGCATGACAAATTTTTGTCATTTTTGTAAAACAAAGCAATAAGCAGAATGTCTGTATAGTTCGGGCTATACAGATAATTCATGTTCTGTGTTCACTATTTCTTTCTGCTTTGATGTCATAAAGCATCTTAAACTATATCTGCATTACATAGCACTTAGAGTAAATGATCACTTTAATCTTGTACTCCAAGTAGGTATATTCTCAGTTCATTACAGAAAAGGAGATGTTTGCTCAGCAAAGCTCCAGCATCAGGGAGCTCAAGGCATATTTATTTTGTTGTCGTTGTTGTTGTTAGGAGTTTGTTTTTGTTTTTGGTTTTTTTTGTAGTTTTGTTGTTGTTCTTGTTGTTTTGTTTTGGTTTTTTGTTTGTTTCTTTGGTTTGGTATTTTTTGTTTGGTGTTTTGTTATTGGTTTTGGTTTTTTTGTGGAAGTGGAAGGGCTTGAAGAAAGCTGGTGAAATGATGTATCCCTGACTAAAACACTTAAAACATTTTTGTGTCTGCTGTGAGTGTCCATGACAAGTACAAGCTGATGAGTAAGGGCAGGGTTGGATTCTGATTGCTCTTACAAATTGTCTCTCTAGTTACTGTTTTAATAGTTGTAAACTGCAACAAAAGAAATAGTTTTTTCAAATGCAGAACCATATCAAGGTAGCTCACTACCATCATTCAGCACTTTATAGGTGGATTACTGCTGTGGTCTTCAGACCCTTTGGAGTTTAGTCTTTAAAATTTTCAACCTCATCATTATTGCTGTCTTGCCTTCCAGCATTTCTCCCGAAGTTCTCTCTTGTATGCTGGCTTCCTTCCTGTGAGAACCTCCCATTTTGTTCTCACAAAGGTTCTTAGAAGTAAATTGAGCTGGGGGAGTATACATGGGCTTTGTATTTCCCTTGTGAAGCCTGAAAGCACTGAGTCTGAGAAATGCAGCTGAGTGCACTGGTCACTGCTTGAATTCATTTTGTCTCCCCTACAGCCTTCATTTTCTGTACCCATCCTCAGAAAGATGACAAAGCTGGCAGTTTTTACTTACAGGAAAACATGAAAACATGTTTTTTCTCTCCCAGTGTATGAGAACTGGGAGTTTATCATTCAATGTCACAAAGAGAGAAACTCATTATGTCCCCAAATCTTTCCTCCCAAGCTAAGTATTGATCCTTCGTTCTTAAGTAAACCCTGCAGTTAATCATAATCATTCTGAGACATTTCATTCCAGTGAGCGGATCAATAATGTCTTTGATGGCGTCCTGCAGTGTTTTCCTGTCATTCCTTGGGACCTCTCTGTCACCTACTGTTCTTCCAGATCCCAGTGCAATCACCTGCTGCAGTGGTGAGAATGCTGTCAGTCCCTTCCCACTCACGTAGGACTCAGCCAGGAGCACGCGGATGAGGCCTCGGATGAGAGTGTTTGCAATCAATGTCCACGTGAACTCCACGCTTTGACTCACACTGACGCTGGGAGATTTTCCCGCCCATGTCACAGTAGTCAGACCTAATGCCCATAGGATGATTGTCATGAGCCTGCCTTTGGGCAGAAATACAGAAAAATATCCAAGTTCCCCTTCTCATCCAGAGGCTCAAAGTAAACCTGCCAGAGAGCAGTGAGTCCAGGGGCTCACTGAGGGATGGAGGACCAGGAGGTGAGTGGCCACAAGGCAGGTGGGGCAGGGGCCTCCCAGTGTGGCACCTGAGGGCACACCTGTGTGCAGGGCACAGGGCAGCACTGGCAATGGCAGCCAGAGCCAGCCAGAGCATCGGGGCAGTTTGTGGTGACAACGCCCAGCCACAACATCACTCCATGGGTCAGGATCAGGTCTAGTGACAGTAACCGGGGTTACACGCTCAAGGGATTGTCAGGCAGGTCCATGGAGTCAAGACAGGTGGTCTAGGCTTGGTAGACCTGGCCACAGCCTCTGGGCCTCTCCTGTTGGTCCTGCTCAGGTGCTGGGGAGGCCTGGCCTTTGGAGGCCACTGCCTTGCCAGCTGTGCTATGGTGTTTGGCTCCTGGCTCTCCATACTTTATTGAGTAGTCAGCCCTTGCTGTGCCCTTTTTTTACCTTTTCTCTCCTCCCATTGTAAAACATGCAGCTTAGGGATGGGAAGAAATTTGAGCAGTCAGACAATTTTAAAAAAGGAGTTGCAAAACAGAATAGTGCTGTGTCGCCTGCTTACCCAGAGTTAGATGTGCTAATCTTAAATCATTTCTGAATCTTTCTGATAGACAAGGCTGGTTGCATGTTTGTTACACAGAAGCCTTGGTCACTCAAAAATTGTCAAACAAGGGTGTGGGTTTTCTGTGGGGCTCAAGTTTCTCAGGGATGTGGTTTCTTCTTTTTATACTACTTTGGTGACACAAATCCCATCTTGTTCAGATATAGTTATGTAGTATAGAGAAACCAACAATATGTGCTATAAGTTCCTGTAAGATCTAGTATAACTGTATCCTCATGAAAACTTTTGAATGCTGATGCCTCCCACCAATTTCAATGGTTTTATCCCACTTACACACCTGGAGAGTAAGAAATATTTGTATTTGCCTTAGAAGTGTAAACATATAAGACTGTAATGGTATTGCAGTAAAAAGCTTTACACAAAATATAATTACAATTTTAAAGGACACTTTGCCCCAAACTCTCTTAGTCCTCTTCACCTGAAAGCAAAGGCGCGTTCTTAGATCATAGCTGGGAACCTTCAAGACATAGGCCACAATAAGATTTTGTTCTGTTGGATGTCAGGTGGGAATTTTCTCTCTTTACTGCATTATAGGTCAACAGTCTTCCTATGGTTGTAACGTACCTCTACTAAACTCAGAGGAAAAATTTTAAGGTATGCTTTAAAATAATTGTAAGTGAATTTCTAGTAGATTACTTGCCTGCAAGTCAAGAACTGAGCTTTGCCTACCATGTTCCCACACTTTGTTCTTATGATGTGATTTTATTCCAAGCTTAATTCCACACTGGTTAGTTAACTGAAGTATGTCAAAGGTAATTTTAGGTTAATGCACTGGGATTGAATTACATAATATTGCATAGCCTTTTTGCAGCAGTCTGAATAGAAGATAGCTAAGGGCTCTAAAATGTGGTGCATACCTAGATGCTGTAAACTGACCAAGGTTCAAAGTGGGATGAACATCTTTTAAAATTTGAAGAATTTAATTTCAATCCTGGATTTAAATATCACAAATTCAGATGTTGTCATCCAGATCTCAAGTCAATGACCTGAATTCATCATAAAGCCCAGCATCAGTTGTTCACCTCGGGCTATCCCTCAGTTCCCTGATATTCTGTACTTCAGGGCACACAGTACATAATGCAGTTCTTCAGCCACTCTTACTCTCTTGTTCTCTCTCCTATACAGTTAAAATGGAAGACAGAGAAGAAGTGGAAAACAAGGACCTCTTGCATTCTTGCATTTCTTTTTTTCCCAGCCTGATTTGTGCTTCTAGGCAGACTGTGAACTTCAGGTCACACAGTACCGCCAAAGCTGAGCCTACCCCAGTAGTCTGTTGAAAATGGAGAGGATATGCTCAGTGCAAGTCTGTCCTTCACAGTCTGTTCCCTGAACCAGCTCATTTGGCCTGAATAACTCAAAGGCCTGCAGTTTCCACATGTCATTTGTATCCCAGCATTTTAGTGGATAGAAAGTTCTTAGGTATTTCAAATGCAGTTTGCAAGGGACTTTGTAAGGAAAAAATGCAGAAATATATTTGTGAATTTATAATAGTCAGGTTTGATTATTGATTTCTAACTGACCTGAATCTATGTTTCCTAAATCCATCTTAGCACTACATTGGTTTGAATAAAACCCCACTTTTACTACCGCCCTCCCAGCTTTGTAATTCAGCGTTACAAGGTTAGCTCCTTGTATAACCTGTATATGGACATGAAGCATGAGGCAGGACAGACACGTAGATGGCAAGAGCAGCTGCTGACAGGAGGTGCCAACAAGCAGTGAAGCTCTTGTGGTCCTTCCAAGGGTGAACACAGTGATGAGTGATGTAGTGCTGTTGGGTACTTTTACAGGATTCAGACTAATGAGTGGTGTGGTAACATTTGGTTAATTGTCAGTAGTGAAAATCTAGCTGAGTACTGCATTAGAGGCCAGGATGAACTCCTAGGAACAGCAGCAGGAGCAGTGCCTGCCCACTCCTTTCCATGGTAGAGGGGCACCACTTGGCTACCCAGTCTGAGACACATGCTATGATTCATTTCACTTGCAGATCCAAGCCCACATGGGATCCTGAAGCCTCTGCTATGATTAAGTAGTGCTGTGTGCATTCCCCATTTGCCCAATAGTAACCTGCTACCAAAGGTTTCAGTAGTTCTGCACTTCCTCAGTTCAGGCATTCTTACCTTTTTTTACAATGGAAGGATTAAACCATTTCTGTCTTGACTCTCAGAGATCAACAAAGTTTGAGTTTTAAGGTTTTCTACAGAAAATAAAACTTGTGTTGAGTTGAAGTGCAGGTTATGGGTCAGCAGTAAACAGTAAAGGGCCAGTATGAAAGTCTAGCCCGGACAATGGATATGAAACAGGTGTTTCAGCCCTAATGTGAGTGTGCCCTGTTCCTGGAGCTATCGGTATGTGCGGTCTGCCTGAGTGTGCGTCCGTAACACCTACTGCCGGTGCCGCTCAGTCGCACTTTGGTCCCAGCTCAGTCCCGGCCCGGTCCCAGCCCGATCCCAGCTCAGTCCCCGCCCGGTCCCAGCTCACTCCCAGCTCAGTCCCCGCCCAGTCCCAGCCCGATCCCAGCTCGGTCCCAGCTCAGTCCCAGCTCGGTCCCAGCTCAGTCCCAGCCCGGTCCCAGCCCGGTCCCAGCTCAGTCCCAGCCCGGTCCCAGCCCGGTCCCAGCTCCGCTCACCTGGCTGGGGTGCTGCTGCCCCCTGCCGGACGGACCAGTCACCGGGCTCCGCCCGGCGTGTCCCCCTGTGTCCCCCCGTGTCCCTCGCTGCCCCGTGTCCTCCGTGTCCCCCTGTGTCCCCCCGTGTCCCTCGCTGCCCCGTGTCCTCCTGTGTCCCTCCGTGTCCCCCGCTGCCCTGTGCTCAGCCTACGCGAGCACAGCCGACACGCGTGTGACAAGTCTGCCCTCGGGTCTGAGTGCTGGGCACTCCCTGGGGTCACGCACTGCGAGGTGTGGGTGCCCGTGGGCAGCTGCGGGGTGCACGGGCCGCTTAAGTGAGCGAGCCCAGGTGCTGCGAGGTGCCGACAGTGCTGGGTACAAGAAGGAGATGGCACACAGTCAGTTTACGCTCACTCTGTGCAGTAGTGTGCCTTACCAACGGGAAAAGCTGTCCAGGGTTTCATTCCAGCGCTCTGCACAGCACCGGGAATCCAGGGCAATCCAGGCACACAACAAGGACACGTGCTGCTGTTTGCAGAGAAGTCGTGCAGATCAGCTGTGGGGCCTTGGCGTTCCCTGCTGATGTTGAGCATTACGCTGGGCTGGACGTGTGCCCTCTGAGCAGCGGGTGCTCTGTACCTGGACACTTGAGAAACGTGTTTTTAATACAGCACCTCCATCTGCAGCGGGGGTTAATCACATCTATCTAGCTCAAAAGCAATTATATGATGGCTTTCTTGGAAATGCCACATGGAAAAGACTAAATTTTTATTACTATTTGCATTAATTGCTTTTCTTTTATTAACTTCTTTGGCTGCATTGGAGCAGTTACAAGAGACAGAGCATCTTGCGAATGGAAGTGTATTTTTCATTATATTATTGCATTACACCATTATCTAGAGAGTAAAGTGCATCCTTCAAAGTTATAATGAGCCATCATTTCTTTGAAGGCTCTCTAGGATTTCTGGACCACGAGAGCAAAGCTACAGCAATTTAGTCACGGGAGCCAGAAAATCAGGCGACAGCCCCTTTAATATTCAGCTGGGAATATGCTATTGATCTGAGATAGCTCAGGCTGGACGGTCTGCTGTGGTGGAAATGCATGGATTTTACCTTTCAAGGATATTTCAAGACATAGTAACTATTCAGAGCTAACCCCAGCATGACCGTCCTTTCCTGCTCCTTCGACACAGAGGTCAGAGCAGAGGGTGTTTGGCGGCGGGGTGGGCTTTCCCTGCTCTTTGGAAGGCTGTGCTTTAGTCAGCGCTGAGGGGCCGTGACTCACCTGAGCGGGGGTCACACCTGAGGGGGAGCCGGGGTCTCAAGGCGAGGAGCCACACAAGGGAGCGCAGCCGTGGCTGTGCCCGAAGGGGCTGGCCCAGCGGGAAGGGGCTGCGGGAGACGGAAGAGGTGAGCAGAGAAAAACCGGGTCTGGAGTGCGAGCCTGCCGCCACCGCAGCACCGAGGCCGAGAGCCGCCCCGCGGACCGGGACCGGGACCGGGACCTAGCCGGGCCAGGCCGGGCCCGCTCACCTGGCTGGGGTGCTGCTGCCCCCTGCCGGACGGACCAGTCACCGGGCTCCGCCCGGCGTGTCCCCCCCCGAGACCGAGCCGGGCCAGGCCGGGCCGAGACCAGCGCGAGCGGACGTGACCCCGCCCCGCTCGCACGTCACCAAGGCAGCGCTGCTGGGGCGGGGCCTCAGCTCGCAGGCGCTGTGGGGAGGGCGTGCCCTACCGCAGGGCCCGCCCCCGCAGGTGACGCAACCGCGCGCGCCCGGCCCCACCTCTCGCGCGACGTTACGCGGCCGGGCCGGGCGGTGGCGGCGCGCGGGGATGGAGCGGCCGCCGCTCGGCCGGTGAGTGACCGCCGGACGGCAAGATCGGGAACGGAGAGGGAACGGGATCGGGAACGGGGCGGGAGAACACCCAGAACCGAGGGATGGGGCGAGGGGACCCCGCCCGGCCGGCCCCGCGTGCGCCCATCGCAAGCGCCTCAGCCACCGCCAGGCCCCCCGCTCGGCCGCGCAGTCTCTCGCCGCCCCCGCTCCTGCGGCCGCTTTAGGACTCTCTGTCCGGGTCGCGGCCCCGCCGGCCCCCTCGCCCCGCTCCAGGCCATCGTCCGGGACGCAGGGCCCGGGCTTCGCGGGGCCATGTCCGGCCCGGCGGTGGCGAGCGCCGCCCGCGGCCCCTGCCGTGGCCCCGCGATCGCCCGCGGCCCTCCCGGCGCGGCCCCACGCACCCCCGGCGCTGGGCGTTCGCGAGGCGCTGCCTCGGCCCTCGCGCCGGGGCGGCTGAGGCGTGTGTTCGCTTGACTGATTCCTGCTCGCCTTGGCTGTCTTTGATGAGATGGTTAAGACACGAATTATTTCATAGCGAGTTCAGAATTCGCCGGCTTAAAAGCAGATTGTCATTGACAGGCCTTTGAAGTAAAGAGCTTAAGGGGTAAAGCAGCAGCTTTGAAGCTTTACGAGTGCCACAATTCACAAGACTTGGAGCTGACACTGTTTGTGACTTGTGTGCAGCTGCTGTCACTGGAGACACAGAAGTACCTGGTGTGCATTAGTGACAAATGCCGTGGCCAGCAAAACTCCCATGGTGGGTGGAAGCATCACTTTCACTAAAAAACCTTATCAGTAAGGAAACTTAATGAGGCTTCCTGGTGGGTAGGAAGTGTAAAGGTCTGAACTGAAGGTACAAAGATCTGAGTGGAAGTCTAGGGGAGGGGGAGACAGAAGAGGGTAATGTAACTCCCACTGCATCAATAAACAGTGTCCATCATCCACAAACCTTAAAATCAGATGTTTCTGCAGGTTGGAAGCCCTTAGTAAGAGTTCAGGCTATTGGTGTAGCACTGAAGTAGTGATGCTTTGACCTGAGCCAGTACACTGGGTTCTCCTCAGCCCAGAGAGTAAGTGCTGCTGTCCCTGATGCTCACCGCTCACTCTGTCTTACTGAAGGGTAACATGTGGCAGGTGACTCCATTTTTGGTCATGATCCTTCTCTTAGGGTGAATTTTTGGTCCATTTGGAAGTGTCTAGAGGCAAGGAAGGCCTGGTGAGTAGGTGTACTCACTGGAAGGGTTGTTTCTGTCTTGGTTCTGGGGGAGCTCTTCCTTCTCTTGCCTGGGGACTGTGGGGCTCCCCAGCTTGCAGGGCTTGTGCTGCTCAGCAGCTCTGCAGCCACACAGGGTTCTGGCACCAAATGAACAAGTTTGTTGGAGCTTTGTATACGATGTGTCCGGTTCTGCTGCCTGATAAACCCACCCAGCTGGTCTGGAAGCCATCCAAAATATGGAAGCAAACTGAAGATGGAAAAAGATCTACTTTGTGTGGAATTTGCTTTAGAAAGAAATTGGAACTTCGGGTTTCCCTCCTCCATTTACTACATGAAAGTTGCTGAGTTTGGTTTCCTAAGCATTTCTGTGTCATAGTTTGGGATGTCTCGCATCTCCTGTAATTAAAACCTATGTCTAATTCAGATACAAAACAGAAATAATTCTAAGTCTACAGATTTTGTTTCCATGTGTTTAGAGAGGTGCATTCTGCAGGTTGTATCTAGTGAGTCTAGGGGAGAGGGAGCAAGCAGCTCCTCCACTGCTTGGGTGAATGGCCTGTGCCTGACTGTGAGCTAGCAACTGTGGCTGCTCTGGAGTCAGGCAAACCTCGTGTTAGTGTTTTCTCTGATCTTTCTGAGAATTGCTTTGAACCATTCAAAAAGACTTGGTGTGATAATATCTTGGGCTTGGTTTCTAGGAATTTTTGCTTAGAGCTTTGGAGGAGGAGTCTTCCCTTTCCACTGGCTTCCCCAGCACATTTACCAGTGTGGCATGTTCTCCTCAGGTGGTTCTGTAGCTGTCTGCCAGTGAGGGCTGGGTTTTGCCACCTGAATTCACTGAGTGCAAGGTGTTTCTCAGATGAGGTAGCTGGTTGGCTGCCTCTTGATAGACCTGGAGTCTCCTCACCCCTGAAATACAGGGAGTGGTTTTTGCTGTGCCTGTCCCCTAAGTCCTGGTCAAGGCTGGTGGCTGTGGCACACTGAATGCTGCTTGGCACAGAGGTTGTGCACTCTCTGTGGGGACTGGAGCTCATGGGGACTTGATCTTGCCTGGGCCAGGAACACGGGGGTCTCTCAGTAGCAAGACTTTCAAAATGGTGTGTGGGCAATGAACCCTGGGTGGCCCAAGTGACATCCCGAGCTCCCTTCCAAGGTCAGCAAATCTGTGAACTTGGCACAATGTTTCCTAGAGGATAAACTGACATCCCTGGAAAGAGTGAAGATGGCTGAATGAAATGGAGCGTGAAGGTGACAGTCTAGATGTGCATTTTCTGCACTTCTAGAAACTTAGTATTCTGCTATGATTAAATACTTAAACTACTTAACTCCCCTAAGCAGTTGAGACCCTGGATATCGTTACAGCACAGTGAGCTGATTCTTTGGGCTTGAATTTAAGCTCCAAATTCTCAAAATTGTTCTTCCAGCCAAACTGTTAAGGAAAAAGGAAAGAAGAAAACAAGCAGTTGTGTGGAGTTAAATATATTTTTGCAAAATATAATGTCTTCATACTTTCAGAAACATTTTACAGTAATGCAGGTCTAATTGACCCTTTTTATTTATAGAGAAGAATCCTAGTCATGTACCAAAAATACAAAATACTTCTATCAAAATAAGATGGAGAACTTTGATTAGGAACCTAGATCTGACACACCGTGTGAAATGCAGACACAGAACAGGAGGTCTTTGTGCCAAAAAGGTTTACGTTTTATTAACTTAAATCCAAACCTGAGAAGTTCAGAAGTTTGCCAGCACTCCTGAACATTTATACCATGCAGGTACCCCCCAAGTATGTACTTTATGTGCATGCTGTGTTGGGGCTTCCATCACGCTATGTGTTGGTCCTTGTTTTGGACAGTGCCTTAATTCTTTAGTCTGACACTGGTCACACAGGCACTCCTGTGGCAAAATACCCAGTGAACATCAAGGCATTTGGTGAGCTGGGAAGTTTTTTCTGAATCAGGGCAATCTGTGATGTGGTATAGTGTTGTATGCTCTGATATGATCAAACTTCATTTGAATGCTTAGAAGATTTCCCTCATTGAGATAATTTATTATGCTAAAGTAGTCAGAGTATGAGGTAACTTCAGAGGCTGCTTCTAATTTTAAATACGTCAAAGCCAGTAGAAACTCAGTATTTCAAATGAGTTAATTATTTCCTCTGAAGGGGACTCTGAATAATGTGTGCTGTTTTATTGTTTATCAGGTATTAATGGTGTTTGTTATTATGCTTGTTAATTTTGGCAGGTCTTTCTCCTCTACAAAGAAGCTTTGTTGCCAAGATTTACTCTGAAAATGACCTACAGTACTTACTGCAGATGTCTGTAAATGTAGAAGCTGATAAATCATATCTTCTTCCCTCCCCTGACTTTCCTGTTTCCTCTGGAATTTATACTTCTAAATTTTTAAAGTTAGACGTCTGTTGATGACATTTGGATTACAACTGTGAGCATACCTATGCAAAGAGACAAGCTACCCTGAGCACTTTTGAGGTATGTATGCCTGCTATGACTTAGAACACATGGAAGGGGAAAGCCATCTGATTAGGGCAAAGAGAGCTCTAGGTATACATATTCTAGATTTAGGCTGATGTGCACTGTTTTGCATGGTTTTAGCAGCAGAATGTATGTGTACACAGTGAGGCTGTAGGAGCACCAGAATACCCAGCTGGCATTGTATGGAGAGTGACCTTGGTTGAACCTGCTGTGGGAGTACTCAAAAGATTGTCTTGAGAAAAGCTGTATCCACTGCTCACCCATTCAGTTCCTAAATACCACCATGGTCTGCAGAAATTTTCTTTGTCAGCTTATGTGACAGACATGCAGCAGTCATTGAAATGCACCTGGGAGGCCATGGTGGTTGCTCTATTTGTTTAGGTAAAGCACTCACATGAAGTTACAAAGTACTTGCCTTGAATTTGGAAGCATCTGGAATGAAGGTTAGGAAAGAAGGATATTTTGCTTGCCTTCCTGTGCACAGGTGCTGGCGCAGTGGTCTCTGCTCCCAGAAAGGAGCAGTCTCATTAGACAATGTGCCTGTGATGTACAAGACACAAGCAGATCTGGGTGGGATTTGCCTTGTTGTTGTGCAGGTTTGTCCCACCCAGGTAACAAGAGATGGACAGCCTTGGCTGTTTCCACAGCATAGAAAGTAACCAACATGCACAGTTTTATTTTCCTGGAAGCTTTTAGCTGTCTATGTATTCTAAACCTGGAATGAGGAAGCTGGCTAACAGCCTCTATCTGGGCTTAGAGGAAGCTGGTGTGCACTGATAACATTTTTTCCTTTTGTAAAAGGACTGCTGCTTGGACTCCCTTTGGTTATCCCTTCTGTGATGTAGATGCCAGCCTTCCAGAGCGGTGGAGGTCTTGTCAGTTAATGGTGGCTTACAGTGAAAGGCAGCCAAACACACACCTCTCTGGCTTCCAGAAGAGACATTCATTAGTGGGTTTAGTTTAAAAGGAAAACTAGTTGTGCTGAAAGTAGCTACCTGACTGAATCATTCATCATACCACATTGCTGTACAGGATGTATTTAGCAGACAACACACACGATTTTGTTGATAAGCTCCAGTGATTCAGACTGACATGATACTGGAGGGACACAGATCTGACCTACCTCCCTGTCTGGCTTAAAACAGCCTGATGGTGTTGCTGTAACAGGAAGGCAGAATGGGCTGTGTTGCAGTGCAAGTGTGAACTGTGATGGGCAGCAAAGTGCAGTGGTTGGGAAGGGGATCCCTTAGATGAAGGAGCTCCATCATTTGCCTGCAAGCAGAGCTGGGGCCAGGGATTGGCACCTTGGTGAGATTCTCTGTTACAAGTGGGCAGAAGTTGGTGCAGCACACTTTAAATGTTTCTCAGTCTGCTTGGGCAGTGTTATTTGGCTGTGGCAGTGTGCAAAAGTAGCATCGGGCAGAAAGGAGGAGCATTGTTTCCTGTGAGCTGCTTTCATAGAAGCTGTAAGAACACATCAGGAGTGGTTTGCTGAGCTGCCCATTGCCAGCTTAGTGATGCTTTATGCAGTGTACCAGGGTTGTGGATTGTGTAACCCAACATGGTGCTTTTTTTTTTTTGTTGTATATAAGTAGGTTATGATCTCTGTAATCCTGTCAATTGATGGTGCACACTTCCAAAAAAACCTGCCATTCTGTGAAAATAGAACAACTCCTGCAGTATCTTTGAATACCTGTAAGAATACATAGAGTGCATGTCTCTGTGTGTATTCCTAAACAGAGTATTAGTCTTTATTTCCTTAACTGTAAGATAATGTTGACCTACCTTTTTAAAACATTGTTTCATGAAAAAACATAAGTGCAGTTTAATTATTCAAACTCATATAACTAAAAGTGAATTACTAAAATGTTGGGTGACAAGGAGATTGAGTATACGATAAAGTTTTCTTTTGATTTAAAGAAATGGTCTGAAAGGTGAAATTGTGTACATTAAAGAACATTGCATTAAAACTGTTCTACAGGGTGTCTAAATAGTTCAAAGAACATTAAAGGACACTGCAGTGTTGAGATGAATGGTACTGCCTTTGATATAGCTGGTGGGATGGGTTATGACAGTAAGTTTGCAGATACCTATTTGCAGTTTCTTCAGGCATAAAGTTGGCGAATTTCAGTATATTTTGTATTTGTGTGAGCTGATGGTGTCCTTAACAAATCCAATGGCCTTTCTTATTGAAGCTGTTGACTATTATTTTCCTGGAAGCCAGTTGCCATGGTGATTATCCTGCGGGCAAATAAATGTTTTTTTCATGGTTCCCAGTTATATTAGTTTTGAGCAAAAGGACTGTGGCCTTTTCTGGGATCACTGAAGTGCTGCACCCATAGCACTCCATGTTTGTAAATGACTGCCTGCTGAACGTGCATCTCATGCTTTAGTGGGTCACAATCGTAAGGGGCAGTGTCACTTGTGTGTGAGAAGCAGTGAGTGTCCCTGCTGTGATCCTGAGGTTGAATAGCAGTTAAAATGGGAGAAATGAACACAGAGTGACTTTGGGTCAGATTTTGTAAGACTGAACTAAGCCCATTCAGGCCAGTGATGGCTGACTGACTAGTAAGGCAAAAGCTATATTGGTGAAAGCCAGTCCCTCCAAGGTGTGTGGAGCTGTGGTCCTTCCCTGTGCTGGCTTTCAGCTGGGGTAGCCTCTAGCTCTGGTTGCTACTGATTTATATTAAATGCTTTGTGGAGGAAAATATTCTGTGTATATGAGCCTTTGCATAACAAAAGAACTTGGCTAGTAGGCATTGGATACCTGTGAGAAGTTTGGCTGCCTGGGCTGCAGAGCATGCTGTGGTAAGAGGAGCAGAGGGGGAGACTGTGTCAGTGGCTGCTTGCTGCTCTGCAGCGCAGTTCCTGTGCTGGTCATGCTTTTGCTGTGGGAGTTAGCTCTCAGCTGGTTTGTTGTGCTGAAAGTTTTGGTTCTGGTTTACTAAAATCCTTTAAATATTTCTGGTGTTATTCCAGTCTGTGGGAGAAGTACAGGGTCCAGTTCTGTACAATCTCTTTATTAATAAAATATTAATAGGGCCAGGTGAGGAATTTTGTAGATGATACAAGATGGGAATTTGATAGACCTGATGATAGTACTGCCATTCAGAGGCACCTGGATAGGCTTGATGAATAGGCAGGCAGGAACCTCACGAGGTTCATTTAAGGGAAAGAGGAAGCTCTGCAGCTGGGGAGGACCCACCTGGTGTAGCTGGTGTTCTATAACCACCCATGTACCTGTACTGGGGGCCTGACCAGCTGCAGAGCTGCTCTGCAGCTAGCAAACACGTGTTCTGGCAGAAACCCAAATTGCACAACAGCTCTGTAAGGAGCCATTGACTTGGGGCTTGCTTTTGGCTCTGATTGTAAGCCTGCACCTTCTCAGTGGTAGCTGAAATTCAGCCTTATTTCAAATAAGACTGCTCTCTTGTGCTGCTTTGGGTAAAGATTTGTGGATTTTTTTAATGTGGACTCTACCATGAATGTGGGAGGAAACATTCTGATTTTGGCTGAGGTTTTAAATGCGTGACTACTTGTTTCCCATTGGCAACAAAGTAGTCAAGCCCAATTGCTTTATACCACATTACTGCCTCTGTGCAGCTGGATGTGGAGGCAGATATTGAAAAGCAGCATATTTGTGAGTGGCTGCTTTGCTGTGCTGTGTTTGTGCAGTGTGTGTGTGTCTCTAAAATGCATGATAAGATCTAATAGAAGGACCATAGATATGCATCAGTATTTTTATTGCAGAAGTCCAAAAAGTGAGCAAAGCAGGGAATTCACAAGTCCGTGTGGTAGCAGTTGATGGATGGCTAACATGGGTCCTGTTCCAAAAGGTGCTGCTCTGAGGGGATAGGGAATTGTGGCTGTGCTGGGCTGGTTCCTTGGCGCCTGAAAAGAGGCCTGGCAGCATGTCTGTGTGCTGCAGGGCAGGTGCCATGGCTCTGCTCACACGGTGTCTGAGATACACGGGCCAGGCTGATGCTGTTCCTGCTCGTTAGGTACATAGGAATGGAGTTATATTGTTCCTTGTCTCAAGCTCTGCTTGAGCCTACCTGGGACTGGGAGAAGTGACTCTAATGAGTCAAGCCAAAACCACCTTTTACATGTCTCCTGTTTCTGTTGTCAGCTGATAGCAGGTTTTTAACACTGAGAACAGGTAAGAAGGCGTGGGTGAGGGTAGTCTTTTACTGATAGGTCCTCCCAGTCTCCTGCAAGTGCTGACTGAAGGACTTCAAGCAGTGTTTGATGGGCAACCTGAACATCTTGTCTGTAGTCCTGCAGGGAGGAATGTGCGAATGCTTGATTGGAAAAGGCCAGGTAAACAAACTGGCCCCAGATTAAGGCCACTACTGTTACAAAATTTTTTTAAAGAGTTGCACTTAAGTATAAGCTCCCTAGAGTAGCAATCTTGAAGAAGGATCAGGAGGGAGAGTTTTCTTCTGAAGAGCAGGATGAAGCTGTCCATGGTTGAGCAGCATCAGTGTTCAGAATAGCGATGACTGTTGACTTCTGGTCAGAATTTGTCTTGCCAGATTTGTGTCACATTTTAAACAATACTGGTAGAGCTGGTTTTGAGTCATCAGGGGGAGTATTTTACCACTCTGTGTTGAGGTTAGTTCTACTTCTTTCACGAGTCATTGTAAATATGATACTTTCCAAATTCAGGGCCAAAAGCACATGTTAAAATCACACATAGTGTGGGGTGTGGGTTGGTGGTAGATGATATCTTTCTTTACAAGCCCGCTAATTTAACTTGTTTTAACCTCCTTACAACTGCAAGCCTGGAATAACCCTCTCTTTTAGAACTAGAGTTGCTAAATCTTGGCAGCTTCTCTGCTGGTATTATCACAGGTAATTCTGCTAGAAGTTAAAATGAGAGGCCATCTCTTCTTTTCTTTGTATTATTAGAGTGCTTAGATGTCTCTCTTTAATGACAGAAATAGGTGTAGTATAACCTTTTGTCTTCCCTTGGAAGGGGAATGAAAATACCTGTATTTCCACTTTATGGTTCTCTTGTTCCTGACATTTGAGTCAGCTTTGACACACAGAAGGTGGCAGTGTCTCTGGCAGACAGGCAATGAGGAGATAAAGCAGCTTTGATCTCTCCCCTCCATCCCTTCCTCTCCAGAAAAGATCCTGCTGAAATTCTTGCCATGGCCTAGTACTGTTGCATTTTTCCAAAGACTGAAGGATCAGATCCAGATAATGCAAATGTTAATAGGGGAGGTTAATAGTAGGAGTGCAACTGACCACTAAAATATTGGAGATGCTTCAAGGAATTAAATGCATTCTTTTCTTTGTGGAAGACACATTGTTTTGAATATTTGCTTAACACTTCTTCAGTCTTTTCCTTTAGGGGAGGGAGTTTCTCTGTTTGCAAAATGCAGTATTTGAATTGTGCAAGTGAAATCACTTGTATGCTGCTGAGCCCTTGATGAAGCTCACGCGAGTTCCTGTTTCTGCAGCTTTTGTGGGCGTAGCATCAGATAGGAGGTTTTGGGTAACACCATTTAGGAGTAATTGTGTACCCTGTCTACTTCCTCTCTTTAACCTTATTCTAAAGTTGTTATAACTGGGTTTATGGTCAGATTTGTCCCTCAGTCCTGTCTTCCTTCAAATAAGAGGGTTTTTTTTTTTTTTTTGTATTGGTTCATATCACAGTCCTGGAAATATCTGCGCCTACAAAAGCTAAAATTGGGTGCCATGCTGTGGTTCTGAAAATGAGCCCCAGGGGACAAAAGAGGTTGGAAATTCCTTAAGTCACTATTTCTGTTGTACTTCTTGTGTTGTGAAAGGGCAGCTTCAGATCCCTGCTTGGACTGTGGCTGGAGATGTCCCTTCAGTGTTCTTCAGTGAAGTCCTGAGTTCAGAGCATGCACTTGACTTTTTTGTAGAACACGTAAATATGGGTGCAACATTTTTCCCTTTTACAGAGGTGTTTTAGTGGAAATACTGCTGTTTGGCCTTACCTTCAGTTTGGTTTTGAGGAAGAGCGGGTGAGGATGTCCGTTTTCTGAAAAAAGCCACTAAATTAAGTGGAAGCATCAACTGTCAGCCCTCCTGTGGCAGACCACACAGTTTTGAATTGCAGGTTTCCTCTTGAGCCTAGTAAAGCAGGCTGTCTTTAAAATAACTCTTCGTCCAGTTTGTTTTTCTTCTAAAATCCCTGCATACTGCTAGTATAAAAATGGAATTTCTTCTATATGAAGATCTTTTTCAAAAATGTGTTCATTCATTTTTTCCAAGTTCCTAATATTTGCTGTCATCACTTTCTTCATATTCTAGCATCCCACTTCAGTGGATCAGAGTAACCCTTTCTTTCTGTCTTTCTGTCTTGGACGTGGGAATCTGATGTGGAATAAAACAGTCAAAATACTCCTTTTGTGCGGAGTTCTTGTGATGTTCACCTGAAGAATAGTGTGCTCCCTGTTTTCAAGAACTGGTTGAGTTAATGATTATCTTTGGAAAATCTGGGTGATTTGGCTGTGTTCCAGAATAGTCCTTGTGGCTGGCTAGAGAAGTGTGGTCACCATGTCTGGTCTCAGCTGTCCTCTTGTCATCTCCTAGCAAGCACCTGGCCTTTGGGTCATTTGCAGAAATGTACAGGGAGGGGCTGCCCATGCAAGGAGCTGTGGCAGGTGCAAATGTGTCTGAGTGCTCACAGCTTTTACCTCCTGTGAGGTGAACATCAGGTAAACCAGAGACAGCTGTTTGACCTGTGCTGGGAGTGTGGAGAATGACTAAATAGGAGAAGAAAATAAAATCTATATGGTGCAGGTTGGAAACCTGACATCTTCCTCTGCTTTCAGCCTGTGGTGGTGGCCACAAACCCCAACAGAAAATGCTCCTTCACAAGAACTTCTTGATTAACTCCATAAGATTTCAGTTTTAACTTCAGTTAAACTTGCAGTTTAAATTCAGTCATATTTATATCCCTTCAGTTATTTGAAAGAGTTTAAAACAGAACAGCTTCCAGGGTTGCTTGCATTTCAATGGGAAAAAATTATTAAAAAAAAAATTAAAAGTTGGAATCATGCTCTTTCTTTGTTGTTTTTGTATATCTTTCCTCCTGTTTTCAGTATTGTATCTCATACCTAATTTCTTTTGCAGTTCTGTTCAGTGGAGGGACTGCTGTGGGTCAGCCATGCTAAAGGGCAAATGATGGAGGCAAGTACAAGTTTATCCTTCACTATTATCTAATGTTGGTTTTGCCAGTTTTTCCTTTTGAACTGTTTTGTTTCCCAGGGCTCCTGGGAAATAATTGCACAAAGGACTGTATTAGAACCTTCTGGGATGTAACAATGTTATAACATCTTCTCAGTTGGCTGTATATGTTATTGTGAATTTTGTTCCTGATGTAGTATATTCTTGTACAAATAAGAAATTTACGTTTTTGAACTTTATGCTATAAAGTATTGTTTCCTCCCACTAACAGAATATAAAGGTGGTTGTAAGTAGAGAAAACAAAAGTGAGCACAAAAGTTGAATCCTAATGTAAATAAGTGTGCTAATTAATTTTGAAGATTCACAATCCTTCACACTTACTTTTTTCTCCAGAAGTAGATACTAGAACAAATAAGTATTTGTAAGGATCTTCATACCACATGTGTAATCTGCAGAGCTCATTTCAGGCTCACAATAGACTCATCCTATGGAAATAGAAGTAGGAGATGACTACAAAGCTCCCGTTAGGAACCTCTGAGAGGCCATATAATTTCAGAAATATGTCCCAGAATACACAGGGTGGTCATGCCTAGTTTGTGAGCTCACTGTGGGCTGGTTTGTAAGCTGCCATAGGGTTAATTTAAACAGGGTAGTTTTTTGTAGCAGATAATGCATGGAATTCCAGTTAGATTCAGGTGGTGTTCTTTAAGACCAGCAGCATTGCCAGTGATATTGTGGATAGAGAGCATGCAGGAGATCAAAGAGATCCTGGCTGGAGAGTTTACCAATCATCTTAGATAAGAACTGCAGTTCTTCAGTGAGTCCTGACTGAAAATAAATGCTGAGTGAATTAGCTAAAATGAAAAAGGCAGTTATGGGTCAGCTGTCAGGTTTGTATTTTATACGCCAAATAGTTTTGGGACTCTTGCTTTTTAAGATGGTGAGTTTTGTTCACTGAAGCATTTGGTCTGTTGGTTAAAAAAGAGGATCTAGTTTTGAGATTTTTTGTCCCAAAACACAAATTGAGTGGAGACCTGTAGTCTAATTTTCTGCAAAACCTGTTACCTGGGGGGGAAAAATAAAGATTAAGAAAGAGGAAGCTCAAAAGCCAAAGCATACTGCTAGACAGAAAGGCACTTTAATTCATTTAAGAAAGTGTTAAGTATGTAGGTACATTGTTGGCACATCTTTTTTCTTCTGCCACACAATTGCTGAATTAATGTGGGTCAATATATTTTTCTTGGATGTAGTTTATTCCTTTGCATTTAATGTGTTACTGATTAAACTGGCCAGTTTATTTACACTCAATGCTTATAGCATCTTCAAAGCACTGAGATAAAATCCTGCATGATTCCAGTGTTCTGCTTTCTGTAAGTACTGAGTTTCTTCTTGCTTCCAGCTAATAGCAGTGACACTTGGAAAAAAAAAGAGAGAGAGAGAGAGGCAGCTCTTCTGCTGTTTTTGGATGGCAATTTGGAAAGCATTTTGGAATATCTGTTTAACCCACTGTGTTAGGCTTCAGATGCCCAAAATCAAGAGCACTCCAGTTGTAAACTCAATGCGTTATGTTTCTGCAGCTGTTCTAGCATAGAAATGAACACTCTGAAACCCCAAATATGCTGAGTTTCAAATAATTATTTTCTAAAGCACAAACGGCTTTCTGCCAAGATTGAGGTAGACCTCTGTGAGCTGGTTTCTATATTTAAAGAAGCCTAATCAAAGTTTTCTCTTGCAGAAAACAGTGGTCAGCTTCTGAGCATGTGATCTCATGGTGCTGATGTAAAACCCTTTCAGTTACTGTATCCTTCCTTCCTTCCTCCCTTTCTTCCCCATATCTTTGCTGACCTTCTCCCATAGTTGTTGCTATGAGCAAGTGCTGGGCTGCACTGTTGTATAATCCAGTCCTGCCTGAGCCCAGGGAATGACTCGGGTTGAGCTCTCTAAGAACAGCTGCGCACTTCCTGTGCCAGAGGCTGAACTGCACATACCTGGTGCTGATCCCTTGCAGATTTGGTTGCTTAATCTACTTTTCAAAAGGCATTCTTGTTTCCTCTGAGAACTGTGGACAAGAGTATGCCAATTGAAAGCATTTCCCTTGCCTGTTCTTGCTTGAAGATAGATTTTCACAGCTAGTTTCCAGTGCCGTCAGTGGATGCTGGCTGTAATAAGCCATTTCTCACTATGTGGAAATGAATAACTCATTTGGAAATGTTCTGGTTTTTTGCATGTATTAAATACTGTTAAGTTAGGGTCTTAGTATCAGATCTTTGTCAAAGAGCAAAATTAATTCTGCCTAAGTGACTAACATGCTTTTCAGAAGTTTAACCTCATGTTAGATGTTATTATGGGCTTGTTTTGAATAAACAAAACCCCACTGGTTTCTTCTTGCTTCTCCCCTTTTTGAACAGCTTTTTTACCTTTCTTGCTTTCCTGCACCCTCTGTGCTGGACTTCTCCCCCCAGGCAATGAATGACTTGTCTCACACAAGCTTTGGCTTCTGCATACAGCCTAGATGCAACTAATGCCACGTGGAGGGGTGCTCCAAGGACTGATACATTTTATTTTGTTAATGGCATGTTTTGCACATGGATTTTTAACCCGCACTTGCTGCATGGATGTATAATAATGACTACTCTTTTGTTTAACATTAGATAAGCATGAGATCACCGTGGCACAGCTGCATGTATAGTCACTCTTGAAGCAATTATACACCTAATTGGCTGACAATCTTGGCATTTTCAAAATAAACACAAGCCTTTTAAAGAAAGGGGACATATTTATGTATGAATAGTCAAATAAACTTGTTGGGTGTCAGCAATGGAGCCGTCTGGCACTGAACAGTTGTCTGATGACCCTGATCCTGGAGGCAAATCCCAAGATCAAGACACCAAAAAACAACATGAATCAGAGCAAAAATTATCCAAAATAACGCATAATGCTTTGGAGAACATTAATGTCATTGGTCAAGGCTTGAAGCACCTGTTCCAGCATCAGCGCAGGAGGTCGTCTGTTTCTCCACATGATGTCCAGCAAGTTCAGGCTGAGCTGGAGCCTGACCTGGATTTGGAAAGCCAAAGCGTCTGTGCTGAAATTGATGGTGTCTCCACCCACCCCACAGCTCTGAACCGGGTGCTTCAGCAGATCAGAGTGCCACCCAAAATGAAGAGAGGGACCAGCCTGCACAGCAGGTGGGGCAAGGGAGATGCCCCGAAAGGAAGCCCGCAGATCAACAGAAGGTCTGCTCAGGATATTCAGTCGGGTCGGCCCAGATCATCATCCACTACAGATGCTCCCACAAACTTGTCTGTGATGGAGATTGCTTCTTCTATCTATGTAGGTGGAGAAGAGGCCGCAGCAGCAGCAGTAAGTTACTCAGATTTACCTTTGATCTTTATCATCTCTTTGTATGTTTTCTTAAGCCCTTTGAAATCTTGTTTTGAAAAGCAGGTTTCTTTCAGCAAATTCAAATGGTGCTGTGTTCAAAAGCTTCTTCAGTGGTGAAGCGAAGGGTTTAAAAGATGCAAGCATTAGTCATTTTCTCACATGGCAGGTGGCTGATTTTGTATGTATTTGATCAGTGAAATGAGAGCTACTTTTGAAACATATTAGGTTGTTTGGATGGCGCACCTCAGTCAAGCAAGGAGCGATGGGCTGAGCAGCAGCCAGAGTAGTCCTTCTTAGCAACTGTTAGCTAGTTCCTGCAACAAAACCTTCCATTTACCTAGTCATTTGGTAAATGTTTTTAATTCCTCTCTTATTTTCTTTTGTATTTTATAAAAGCAAAGAATTCTAGTGTGAGTGGATGGTGCTGTTGGTCTTTTAGGCTGTGAGAGGCTCTGAGAGCATGGGCTGCAGCCTGTGCTGCTGTCCAGCCCCTCAGTGCTGGGTTGCCTGCACGTGGTTTGGATCAGCCTGGCTGCTCTGCTGATGGGGGATTACTGCTGTCTCCTTCAGTTTGTCCTGCCTGTGTGGGAAAAGGATTCACTGAAATGACAGTCTCTATTCTGTGACACGTTCTTGCAAAGTTTGCCTGTCAGCTTATTGATGATATCAAGAAGCAAGCAGTGTTTGTCTTACCATTTCTCCCCTTTCCCAGATCAATTTACTTGAAGCATTCTTGGAGTTTGATGGAGCTTTTTTTGTTTGCTTTTTGGAAGACTAGCTTTCTGATAAGCTAATTTTAGCTTGTTCAGGACACTGGTTCAGAGAGTCCTCTGAAAAACAGCCCTTAATAACAAAGGGGTCTGTGGAGGCTGGATATACTTTAGGTTGTTCCCTCTTGCAGAGAACATTGAAGGAGTCTGCCTGGAGCTGTCTGAAGCTTTTGCCTCTTGCTAATTGTTACAACAACAGAGACAGTAATAAAGCAGTTGTGAAAAGCATGCACTCTCCTGGGCTGGTTAACTTTGCGGTTAGTCAAGCCATTGAGAGTTGTGAGAAAGAGACATCATAATAGTTTCAGGTTTATTTGTATATTGCCTCTCTCTTCATTTTGAGTGAACTCACGATATTTGTTTCAGGAGAATTTTAGGGAAAATTGTTCGTTTGTTGATTTAAAACTGTAGTCCCTTTACGTCATGTATGAGCAGGGAGATTGAGCAGGCCTAAGCATATTAGGTAAATAATGTGGGAATATGGGGAAAGGTCTTTTCTCCCAACTGCACAGCTTGTCTGATGAAATGTTTGCCCGGAGTGGTGGTTTCCAAAGCAGAATGTGGGTAGGACAGTCCACTGTAGGAGTAGGAAGGAAATACTATTTGGTTTGTTTTATCTTTATTTTCCTTTCTAGTTTGTATTTCTGTGTACGTTTTAAAATAAGCATATTGTATTAGTTGAGTAGTACATACACATAGTTTATAAATAAGCATACATGTATTGGGAGTCCATGGTCAAACATTTTGTACTGATTAAGTGTGCAAAGTTTGGAAACCACTGCGATCACGTGGCAGGAGTGACAGGAAAAATGGAGACTGTTAATCTGATAGCATTCTGCTACAGCATTGTGCAGATGTGAGAACAAGTTTAGGAGTCACTTTTTGGCATATAAGGGCTTCTGATTAGGTGAAGCAGCCACTTTCACCCTGCAGCTGCCGTTCTCTGGAGCAGCATGGGGTGTGGAAGAGTGGCTGGGGATGGGGCCCCTGGCCTCGTCAGGCAGTCACCCCGCTGGGGAGCCATCCTGGTGCTGCTGGCTGTGCCCTCGGTGGCCTGAGGGACAGGGTGCATGGGCTTTCTCCCCCCTCCTTGTTGGAGAGAGGCAAGAGGGGGACTGGAGCCTGACAGAAGAAAACAAAATGAAGGAGGAAAGGCCACCTTTGGGGGCTAAACCATCAGAGACCTCTGTGACCAGTTGAGCCTTGGTAGAGCTTAGTGAATTTCTAGCTGAAAATTTAATATTTGCACCATCTTGTGACAGACAATAACAATGTATACTGTAGGTCTAAAGTGGCATGGCCAAGGAAATCCTGCTATGGAGAATGAGACATAAAATGAGAGGGAGATGTGAGGGTCAATCCCTTGTACTGAAATCACGTTGCACATGCCTCTTTTCTGTTACTACCTTTGTCTTTTAGCAGGTAGTCTCTAGGAGAGGGAAAAAAGATGGGTGGGAGAGCTGGGCTCTTTCTCTTCCTGGAAAATTTTCACAGGTTGGGGTGGTGTACCTCATTTTCTCTCCTGAGAACAGGTAACAGCACTATCTCACAGTGTGGCACAAGGGTTGGAAGAGCTATTCAGTAGTTTAGTGCCACCTTCCAAAAGTGGGGAATCTCTATCCCCTCATGCCTCCAAGACCCTGAAAGGTCAAGACTGCTGCAATATTGCTATGCAATCTGCATAATGTTGGGAGCTGTAAAAATCACATGAACTACGTTTGACTTAATTTGCACAGGAAGCAAAAACTAAAAATTGGAAAATACAAATGTTGGTTTTTTTTCTACAGAGAACAACAGAATGTTGTCTGATACTCCATGAAAAGCACTGTGTGTGTTTGCTGTATTAACAAAATATCTTGCTGTTATTTCAGTCTTGAGACATACTGTCTTGACTATGCCATGTGTTTGTACATACTAGGTTTAAAGTATGTTGATGCCACTCAAAGTTACAAATTAATGGGATTCAGCTTCAGGTTAAATGCAGATGATTGTACAGCTTTAAATAATATATAGCAGCCTTTACTGAATTTTCAGTAGAGATGTAATGCATTTGTAAATCAGCTCCATGTAAATTTTAAATCACTTATATGATTATTAGCAGAGCTTCTTGGTTTGTAAAATCAGTAAAGCATAATGCAGTCATTTGGTAAATCATCCTTATAATAGATGTCAGTGCTGTTTTCATTGGAGAAGCCAGCTTAGCATTCAGGCTGCTTCATTCCTGGAATTTATGACCATAAATTAATGAGTTGTTGTTAAGTTGCAAAAACTAACTCTTCTTTCAACAATTTGTATTGGAAAATTATTTACAGCACACTTCAAATGACAATCAGTAAAGAGCCAGGAAAAATCTGAAATCATTAGAGCAAACTTAAAGTTTGATGTAAATTCAAACTTTAAATACTGTCTTTATGTTCTGAGATATTTGAAGTTGTTTCACACAGTGTTACTTTAACCCTAAATTCTCGTATTTTATTTAACCTCACTGAGATTAGATTTACATAATGAAGCTTAAGAAATAGAAATAGTTTGTTTGAAGTGTCTGGCAGATAATGCTCAGTCATCAGGGTTGAGAGTCCTCTGGACCCCCGGGTTCTACCCAGCCTGTATGGATTGTCTCTACATCTAACTTTCACTTAATTTTTTTTGTTGTTTTGTGATGACTTTCTCAACACTTTACCTGTTTGTCTCCTTCAGCTTTTTGTGATTTTATCTTTTAAATAAATTTTTTACCTTTTCCTTTTAATAAAGCCACACCAATTTCACTTCCTTGGTTTTGGTGTTCGCTGCTGACAGTGATGCTACACTGACTCACCTTCCATCAGCAGGCAGTATTTCCTTCAAAATTATTTAAGAATTTCATAAATCCATCTATAATTAGAAAAATGTCACTGAGCTACAGCATTGATCCATCTGTTGTGAACATATGGGCTATACAAGCTACAAGGAACAGAGAAAGAACTCATAGAATGGAAAAGTTGTGATTTAATTATGACAAGAACTACGTAACATAGGATTTGTAGTCAAGCAATATAACTCTGTTTTCTGGTTCCTGTCTTCTGTCATGGTTTGCTTTTCTGGTACCTCCCCTGTCGTGACACAGCTTATTCCTGCTGGTGTTGGATGTGTGCCAGTGGTTCTGGGGCTCCTCTGCCCTGTCAGGTAACAGGTGTTGAACTGCACAGGGCTGTGACCATGCCTCGATGTCACCTGTGTCACTGTGCTGGCACTGCTCTTGTGGCAGGAATTCCTGCTCTGCCTTCCTTTCTTTCGTTATTTTTCTCCCAGTATTAAGATCTATGACAGCTAGGAAGAGTAGTGAACATTTTGTTTGCTTCACATGCTCTTCACCTGCTCACTAGGGTGTTGAAGTGAGAGGTGATGGGCTTAGTCAGGGAGCTGCAGGCACTGCACACCCTTGTGTGCCATGCATCCTACTGCTTTTAAGACTTGACTGTGACTGCAGAAGGTTTTGCGATGAGTAGATGAAGGAAGTCAGCAGACTTGCATTGCTGAGAAATTAGCCTTCATTTATATTTTATCAGAGGCTTATGTTATCAGAGCATTATTCTGTATGCTTTTGTGGGCTGCTGTGAAATTGTCAGTGCTTGTTATTGGAACGGCAGGAGCATTACTTGTTGCAGAACTGTTTTGTCAGGCATGGATGAGCAGGAGCCCATGTGCTTCAGTCTTGCTTACTACTGAAGCTTAAAGACCTGTTAAACACATCTGAGCTATTTCCATATCTTCCATGTTTTGTGAAGTCAAGCCCTGAGCGTCATCCTTCTGTGCAAGGCTGCGCAGTGATTGGAGTTTATGCTTCATGCTGCCTACATAAATGCTGTGTTGAGCTTGGCTAAAGCTTGTGATTTATTTGCTTGTTGGGTTGGTTGATGCTATTACATTTGCTTTTTAACAGTAGGTGCTATGTCTGAGCACAGACACTTTTCCTTTGGAAAAGGAAAAAACCCCTTATCAGCCTGGCCATGTCCACGAGGTAAATTGCAGAAGCGCAAAAGGAAATTTTGTAATTAAATTCCGAGGTATACTAAGAAACGCAGGCCCCCCTCATGGGGCGGCTGTGGAAGGGCAGGGCTCAGAGCAGGGATGGGAACTGAGTTTTCCAAACAGCTCCTCAGGGTCCCCTTCTGCCTGCATCACATGCAGAGTACTGTGTGCAAGGAAAAGATATGTGCAAGATTGATATTA